GACATCAGCGGTCATGGAGAGTCTCCATCCAGCTGGATCACTGTCACAGGTGACACACTCACCTGTCTGTGTTTCTGCAGCTTTCAACATTCACAATGTGACGACAACTTAATGACTGTGTTTGCTTTATTTTAGGGGAACACACCACCACACCTCCACCTACATCCACACCTCTACCTACATCCACCTCTAACCCTCCATTGAGCTTGTCAATTGTTGTATCGGTCTGTGTGGTGGTTCTACTGGTCCTGTTAGTGCTACTGATTTTGTTGGTAAAACGACTTCTTCATCGAAAACCTGAAAGTGAGACTCAGACACCTGAATTTAGTTTTGCCAATATCCTTGCTTGTTATTATATTCATATTTTTTTCATGTAGATGATGTCTTATTGCATCTAATAAAAGTTGCCATAACAACAGTCATAAAAAAAATGAATTTGAATAACTTCAGCAGATCAAAGCGACACTGAAGAAGATGACAACACAGACGATGTCATATACAGTGAAATCACATTATCCCAACGACCAACACAAACCTCCAAAGAAAACAGAGGTAATATTTTCAGGGTTTTTCAGGTGGTTGTTCAGTTATTTGGCACATTTTACTTCATGGTCATGAAGTAAAATGTTTGCCATTTAAGACACCCTGATGTGTTTAAATAGTTTAAAACATGGTCTGTCTGCAGATTTATTTGAGCTACTTTTAGGCTTAACTAATATCTTACACTCACTCAACAATCTGATTTTTTGTGTTTTTTAAGTTCTGCATGTTAAACCACAGCAGCCGTTTCCTGTCGCTGACTGCAGATCACCATAGACTTTTTAGATTAAATAATTTTAATGTTAAATATTGACTATGTCAACAGATAAAGGCACGACTGACATCGCAGACGATATCACATACAGTGAAATGAAAATATCACATCGTCGGCAACAACCAATCAAACAAAGCGGAGGTAAATTTTTGCTTGTTTTCAGTAACTCGGGGTGATGGTGGCTGTAGCCGAAAACATCACTGTGTTTGCTGTGATGCATTGTTGAATATGTTTCCTGTTCCGGCTGCTGAAGCAGGAAACATATGGCATGCTTGTTGTCAGTGTAACAAAGGTAAAGAATTTACAGAGCTACCTCAAATTTTAAAGTAATTCTACAGTGACCAGGTTTTATGGTCAGGCGAGGATATTCTCACATTATATTACAAATGAATAATTTAGTTGTCTTCTGTGGTCTTTCGGGGCTTTTAGATATTGCTGAGA